TCGTTGGAGAGGTACCAATTTCTTGGAACTCTACAAAGGAAACAACAGTGGTTCTCTCATCCTGTGAGACGGAGTATATAGCTTCCTCTAAAGCAGCTTGTCAAGCAATTTAGCTAAGTTCACTGATGAATGAATTGATGGTAAAGTAAGGATGTAAATTGAAGCTGCTGATTGATAACAAATCTACAATAGATCTTGCCAAACATCCAACATCTTATGGTAGAAGCAAGTACATTGAGACCAGCTTTCACTTCATCCATGAGCAAGTTTCAAATACATACAACTTGCTGACATTTTGACAAAAGCTTTGAAGTTTGAAAGATTCAAAAGTCTTAATATATTTCTTTTGATTTGAGGAGGAGTGTTAGTTAGTCAAACCAAATTTGTCTATGTTAGATGTTTTTGTTTTTTCTTATTATTAGCAATTACATTATTGCTTGTATATAAATATATTCTTTGTCATCCAATAAGTGTAGTTGAGGTAAAATACACATAAAAAACACTACTATCTTTGGGTTTTTTTTTTTTTTTTCTGTTCTCTATTAACATGTTTAAAGTGATATTATTTTATTAAAAATATATATGTATCATAAATTAATTTGATAAAAGATTTATTTATTTTAAGAGTATATTAGAATAAGTCTCTAATAATCATTTGTTTTAACATGTAATAGTTAAGATTAATTCCTATTTTAGATCAATAAATTATTAAAAAAATTGAAAGATGATAATGAAAAAAAAAGTTTATAATTCTTATTTTGGAATTTATTGGATCTCATGTTATAATTTAAATATTAAATCATTAATAAAAATTAATTTTATTAGTGTAATTTAAATTTTAAAGTATATTTTTATTTAAATAATTATTAAAAATTTTAATTAAGCTAAAATTGATCCATTAACCCATTAATTAACATAAGATCATAATAGACTAAAATTATGATTCATTTTAAAATATAAATCAAGAAATCATTTTATTTTTATTTAATCCATAAGACTAAAACTGAACCACTCATTTTTTACAATTTTGAGTTTATTACAATAATCATTAAGGTAAAATATATATGATGATAAAAATAGAATAAATGAATTAGTTAGATTAATTTATGTTGACTCGTCTATCTTATTTTTTTTTTTTTAATAATAAATGAATTGGTTAGATTAACTTATCCAAATATTTCCTTTCTTTATATTCCCACTTAGTTATATATGTATAAGATAATTTATATTATTAAATAATATGACCAATTTGACTTAAAATGGATTAAGTTAGTTGTACTACTCACTATTAAATATAACAAAAAGAATAACTAAAACAAAAATATTAAAAACAAATCCATAAAAAAATTATTTGTAGAGACCAAAACCAGAAAACACTAATATTAATAAAACTTAAATTAATGATTAAAGATGGTGGGTGACATATGTTAATTACAAAGGTTATAAATTTAGAAAACAAAAGTACCAAAAAGTCAAAGTACAAATTAACACGCGAATTTGACTCATCTAACGAGTGCTTAGAAAACTTATGTTGGTGATGTTTTTTTCTTGACTAGTGACAATTTTTTAGAAGTAAAATCCAAAATTTTCTCTTCTTTTTATGCTACACTCCAACACAGCATTCAATTCAAACAATTTCATTACAAAAATGTACCCACCCCACCACCACAAAAGAATGTTCTTTTCAATAATCAAACCGTTGTTCGCGTGTCAGTGTCAGATAAGTTACTTTAATTTTAATTACACTAATTCGAAACTTCACTCCTGTTACATATAATACAACATAACCACTTATGATTTCTTTTATTTTATATTTCGCCTTAGAAACTAAAACGAAGAACTTGTTCATAAAACGTTTAAATCAAAGAATAATAAACAATGACCAACTTATGTCATGTGTGTATTGACTTGTAAAATTAATCCTACCACTGTCTCACTATAGTCAACTTAACTTTATCAACCCTGTCCAGGTAATGCTTCTCTGACCTTCACAAAAACTTGATGAGGATCAAAACAGAACAATTCAAGACCCCTATGAGGATTATTCTTAGCTTCATGCTCCTTCTTTTCACCACAACAAGTGCTCAAGCACCAATTTACATGTACAATTTTTGTGAGAACTCAACTCATGTTAGCCCCTCTTACAAAGCCAACGTTGAAACCTTCCTCTCATGGCTAACTTCAGACTCATTCAAAAGCGATGGATATAACTACACCACTGTAAACAACAACAATGGTGATGCTGTTTATGGGGTGTACAGCTGCAGATTCGACATCACAGGGTATTTTTGCCAGTTCTGTATCACCACTGCTGCAAGTGAACTCTCTCGGAGGTGTCCCAACACTGTCACTGCTATCATATGGTATGATGTATGCATCATCCGTTACTCAAACCAAAGCTTCAATGGCAAAGTTAGTTTAACCCCAACATGGAATATTACCGGACCCAGAAAGATCAAGGTAATGTTTGACTAAGGAATTTGACAATTCAAATAGTTTAAGGTTGATTATTGTTTTTTGAACATGACATTGTTGTCGAGAATCATGTGTTTGAGGTTATAACTTTTAGAAAAATCTTTCCTCTTCAATCACCTTTTTGTATTAAGTTAAAACTTTGCTTGAGAGATTCTAGTTGACATGTTTGTAAATAGATATTTTATTTTAGATTAAGAAATTCAAATTTCTGTGTTTGAGTTTAACAGTTGTGTATTAATGTAAAAAAGCTTACACATATAGTCAATCGATCAAAAGTAATGGCTAATATAACTTTGAAAAACTATTATAAAATCAACAAACTTTACTATGATGGTTTAGGACTGAATAACAATATAAAAACTTTCTACACTGTTATTAATTATCTACTAAAAGTTCTATCTTAAACTTCTTCATGCAAATACAGTACTCAACAGAAGTTAAGGAAGTAGAAGATTCCATGGAGGGTTTGATTAGAAAAGCAACTATAGAGACCAAGAAATTTTGGGCAGTGGATGAGTTTGATTGGGTTGAGAATGAGAAAAGATATGGATGGGTGCAGTGTGATAGGGAAATTCCAAGTGATGAATGTGGGCAGTGTTTGAATGCGCTGTTGGACATATTTCCACAATGTTGTTCCACAAAAGCACAATGGGCAGTTTTTGGTCCAAGCTGTGGCATCAGGATGGATGATGAAAAGTTCTACCAGAGTTCAGGTTAGGGTTGTTCGCAATTTTATTATAAATATTTATGAGAAAAATAAATATTTTTTACGAGTTAAAATTAATTTATATAAGGTAAAAAAAACTGTCTTTCAAAAATAAATATTAGATTTTTCCATTTTGTATATAATTGTTCATCTTTTTATACTGTTGTAGGCGATGGAGGTACCAGTAAGTCAAGAAAGTTGATCATTTCCTTTAGTGTGTTGGGGTCTGTAGCTCTACTATGTTTCAGTGCCTACTGCTACTGGTACAGGAAAAGAATCAGAAAACGTAATTTGCTGCAGTAACACTTGCTTGATTTTTAAAATAGATTGCTTTCACATACTCAACTATGAACTCAAAAACATGTCATTGTAGATAAGATGATGCTTGATTATGAGGAAACATTGAATGGAGATCTGCCTACAATCCCATTAATAACAGTTCTACATAGTACTAATGACTTTTCAGAAGCATCTAAATTAGGGGAAGGTGGATATGGCCCTGTTTACAAGGTATAATGATTTGGATTCATGATATAGATTCTTTACTATTGTCATCCTTCTATATGTTCTCATTTATTGCAAACTTATATCAGGGAATTCTACCAGATGGAAGACCAATTGCAGTGAAAAGGCTCTCAAAATTTTCTGGTCAGGGCTCAGAGGAGTTCAAGAATGAAGTAATGTTTATAGCTAAATTGCAACATCGCAACCTTGTGAGACTTTTGGGGTGCTGCTTGGAGGAAAATGAGAAGATAATTGTATACGAGTACATGTCTAATGCAAGCCTCGATTTTCACCTCTTTGGTGGTATGTTTTTCAGATAGCTTAGTGAATAACATTTTTCATGAGCTTTCGTAACTTTTACTGCATTTTCTGAGCTCCAAATTGATCATGGTCTACGGAAACCAATCAAGTGGAGGTGCTATTGGCTTTAAAGTATTAATGTGGAACGTAACTGTGTATATTATCTGTTAGCTAAGATGACACATTCTATCGTATGATTTTGGTATCTAGTTTGTTTTAAGAATAAGAGCAAGAACTCATGATGATGATAATAATAATAATAATACCAGAGAAAGTAATGGCACAGTTCTTTTCTTTTCTTTTTTCCTTCCTAAGGCCAATATTCACTATTTGGTAATTGCTGATTCCTCAAATCTTTTTTTCTTTGCATACTGCTTTTGCTTTTGTTGAATAATCTTGTCTTGCTGTTGTCAGATGATGAGAAGAGGAAGCAACTTGATTGGAAACTAAGATTAAGCATTATCAATGGAATAGCAAGAGGTGTTCTATATCTTCATGAGGACTCTCGCCTCAAGTTAATTCATAGAGATCTCAAAACTAGCAATGTTCTATTAGACCATGAGATGAATCCCAAAATATCAGATTTTGGATTGGCAAGGGCATTTGAAATAGGACAGAACCAAGCAAATACAAAACGAGTAGTGGGCACCTAGTGAGTTCTACTAATCCAAATAGTAGGCCTTTTCTAATTCAGTTTTAACCACTTGATCATTTGAAAAATGAAATTTTGTCATGTATTATTCAATGTCTAAGAGGAATAACAAAATTCTGTTGCTTTCCTTTAGTGGATACATGGCTCCAGAGTATGCTATGGAAGGGTTATTTTCTGTGAAATCGGATGTTTTCAGCTTTGGAGTTATTGTTCTAGAAATCATTTGTGGTAAAAAGAATAGTGGATTCCATCGATCAGAACATGGTCAAAGTCTTCTTTTATATGTGAGTTTTCTCTCATATTGATCAAGGAATTATTCAACCATACTAACTAGACTTAACAGCTCTCACAAATCACAATTACATGCAGGCTTGGGACATATGGTGTGCTGGAAGATGTTTGGAATTGATGGATCCAACCCTGATCAAATCCTTCATAGCTAGTGAAGTTTTCAAGTGCTTACACATTGGTTTGCTGTGTGTTCAACAAGATGCAGCAGATAGACCAACCATGTCCACTGTTGTTCTAATGCTAGGAAGTGACACAATGACCCTTCCAAGACCCAACCATCCTGCATTTTCTGTTGGAAAATTGACCCCTAAAGAAACCTCAACTTCAGGAAGTTTCAAGAATCCTTCTATTAATGATGTAACAGTCTCAGCCCTTTTAGCAAGGTAATAGGGAATACTTTCAGTTCTTGAGAGTATGTATTCCTTCTATCATAACATTTGTCAGACATGGTATTTTTCTTTCTTCTTATCTTAATGTTTTTAAGATTACAGAAACTGTGAAATTAACAATATTAACCATCACAGGAATAGGTAATGTATATCTTGATAAAATATCTTCCCTTTCTTTTGCAAGTCAATGAAACTACAAGTCCAAAAGACAAGGAATAATGAAGACTTCTTTTCTTCGGAAATTAGACCAAATCAGACAAACCCTGTTCTGATGTAGAAAGAGAAAATAATTTCCTTTATTATTGTAGAAGTTGTTGTAATAAATTCAGAGCCTGCAGAAAATCAACAACTTTTCTTTATGCCCATATTTTAAGGAGAGTACCCCTATGTGGTGATCTAAATCCTAATAGATAATAAGAAAAAAAAAATGTTTTACTTACACAACCATTCAAGCAAAAGTAGTCATGTATAATAAATTCATTAATTTTTAAGAATCTACTTAAAAGTCGTAGAAAGATTATTATGATTTTAAATCTACTTAAAAACATCAGTATTTTAAAATCCTACACAAAATCTCTTATTTCTTTTAAAAATACTCCATATTCACTCTTTTTTTTAATTTTATAAATAAAGAAGATCACCGTAAAAAAAAAATATAGAAAACTAACTATATGTGTGAATTTGAATTTTTTTTTAAGAAAGTGTAATTTACTAAAAAAATCATTTTACACGTGAATTCTTGGCCATTGTATTCAGATAATAAAATATTCGAAGGATAATATATTTTAAAAAATATTACTCAAATAAATTTTTTCTTAATTTATTTACTTAAATAAACTTTTTTACTGTAGTTTTTTTCTTTTTTCTTTTTTTTAATCTTAAATCTATTATTTTTATCAATATTAAAACTAAAAATATATTAATTATTTATTTAAAATTATGATTATAATAAATAATTTTATTTATTTTGATAATAAAAGAAGAGAAATTTGTATTATTCTCCTAATTGAATTTTGTGTATAAATAAATCTTATTGGAAAAAAAAACTTAAAAAGTTTTATTTAAGTAACTTTTATTTTTAAATATATTATTTATAGTGTGGAACAATATTTAAATTGTAGAAATTTTTATTAAATTGATGAAAATTTTTTATCCCAATTTTATTTCAAGAAAATAAAAGAAATGGCGCTGAGAAAATAGGAAATCATTAGTAGAAATAATTGTAGATAGTTAGAAAGATTCAATTAATTAGAGCCTTATTTTTCACGTTGTTTAAAAAGGTATAATTATAAATTAGATTTCGGTATTTTATATTTTTCCATGAGAAAAATTTGCTTTTATCTTTTAGTTTCTTTTATTTAATTTTAATTTTTCTGAAAATATTTATTTTCTATTTTAGTTCTTATAATGTTTATTTCATTTTGAATTACTTATTTTGAGAAATATTAAATAGAAACTAAAGAAATATCTTGCCGCAACACTAAAATTAAATATCAGAAAGATAAAGTAAAAATAGAAACTAAAAATAAAAGATGAATATATTTCATGACTAAAAACATTTAAAAATAAATAAAAAGCGAGATATTTGACAGAATTGGTAATGGGATTGCATTGTATATATAGGTTTGACCAAAATCACACGTGATTGTCTGACATATAATTTGATATGAAACTACTTCGGACTTTCTAGCATTTTTCTTTTGGTAAAGGAATTCATTACTAGAGTTACGTGTTTCAGGCGTTGTCCTTTTTTCATGCAAGAAATTCATTGTTTGATTAAAATCATAAGCAACTACTCCATGGTGGTAACACACCTAAACGTGAGATCAATATGTTATGGTTCATGTTATTGCTGAGTTTCAGAATACTCATTATAAAGGCACAAACACAGACATATCTGGGAAGTAATTGCCAAAACACCACCCAAGAACATCTCAGCAGTGCATACCAAACAAATCTTGATAAAATCCTCACATGGATGTCCTCTGATGCATCCACAAGCAGAGGCTATAACCATACCAGCATAGGCATCAACTCCACAGTGTATGGCCTCTATGATTGCCGTGGTGATGTTGTTGGATACTTTTGTCAATTCTGTGTCTCCTTCGCAGCCAGAGAAGCCCCTAAACGCTGCCCCAATAGCGTATCTGCTATGGTGTGGTATGAGTACTGCATTCTAAGGTACTCTAATGAGAAATTCTTTGGGGACATTCTCACACACCCCACGTGGCATGGGGTTGGAACAAAAAATGTATCCAACATGGCAGAGATTAAAAAAGGTGAGGGTTTTGTAAGAAGTTTAATCAGAAAAGCAGCTACGGAGACAAACCAGTTGTACTATTTGGGTGGCTTCAGTTTGAGTTCCACTCAGAGAAGGTATGGTATGGTGCACTGCAGTAGAGATCTCACAAATGAAGGGTGCACAGAGTGTTTGGAGGCTGTATTAGCACAAGTTCCCAAATGTTGTGAACAGAAAATAGGATGGTTTATTTGGTCTGGAACTTGCATGATAAGGTATGATGATCAAATGTTCTACCTTCTGAACAACCAAACATCTTCACTTACTGAGCCAAATCTGCAAACAGGTGAATCTAAAGACTATAAACTTATAATAGTACTTCTTATCTAATTTATTGTAAGATTAGAAATATTGATTACTCTTCTTCTAATATTGTTAAAGGTAAACAAAGGAGTTATAAGAGGTCAAAAATCTTGATCATTAGCTTCAGTGTGATGGGGCCAATAATTCTACTATGTTTCAGTGTATATCGCTTCTGGTACAGGAGAAGAGTTAGAAAAGGTATTTTCCTGCAATTACACATGCCATAATTGGTACGAAAACTTATTAATAAGGCTATTTTGTTGAAACATGAACTCACAAAATTCTCTTTGTAGATGGGTTTCGTCTATCTTCATTTCATAAAATTCAAACAGAGGAAACTTGGACCACACAACTGCCTATAGTTCCATTAACCACAATTCTGCAGAGTACTGATAACTTTTCAGAAGCATCAAAATTAGGGGAAGGAGGATTTGGCAATGTTTACAAGGTTTTAGTGACTTGAATTTATGTTATGAATTTTTTACTTTTTGTCAGCTTTTGTTTATTGCAAACTTTTATCAGGGAATTCTAGCTGATGGAACACAAATTGCAGTCAAAAGGCTGTCAAAATTTTCTGGTCAAGGCTCAGAGGAATTCAATAATGAAGTAATGTTTATAGCTAATCTGCAACATCGCAACCTTGTGAGACTTTTGGCATATTGCTTGGACGAAAATGAAAACATACTAGTGTACGAGTATTTGCCGAATAAAAGTCTAGACTTTCACCTCTTTGGTATGTTTTGACATGGCTTCTATGCTTCAATTATTTTACTGCTATTTTTTCTCAGCATTTTTAGTTGAAAATGGTCTTGGTTTAACAAGTCAAGTGGTGCTACTGTGAGCTCTGAAGTAGCCTTTTCCTTTCATAACATGAAACTAAGTTATCTTTAAGTGGCACAAGTTGTATAGCTCTTTTGGTATCTTTTGCCCCATGTTAGATTTATGCTTCACAATATTCTGTTCATCAAATCTCTTCTCTGTTCTTTTTTTGTCAGATGGTGAGAAGAGAAATCAGTTCGATTGGAAACTAAGATTAAGGATTATAAATGGAATAGCAAGAGGTATTTTATACCTTCATGAGGACTCTAGAGTCACAGTAATTCATAGGGATCTCAAAGCTAGCAATGTTCTATTAGACCGTGACATGAATCCCAAAATATCAGATTTTGGATTGGCAAGGGCATTTGAAATAGGACAGAAACAGGCAAACACAAAACGAGTAATGGGAACTTAGTGAGTTCTACCTAATACCCAACATTTCTTTAAGTACTAACTTTTTTCGGATTCATTTTAAAAACTTTATTATTTGAAAAATGAAAAGACTGTTACATTTTGCTTAACTCGAGTGAACTAAAGAAGTTCTGTTGATTTCTTTTAGTGGATACATGGCACCAGAGTATGTTATGCAAGGACTATTTTCAGTGAAATCTGATGTTTTCAGCTTTGGAGTTCTTGTTCTAGAAATCATTTGTGGGAAAAAGAACAGTGGATTATATCTTTCAGAACATGGTCAAACTCTTCTTTTATATGTGAGTCCTCACTCTCATTGGTCAACACATTATTCAACTTGCCAACCATAAGAATGTTCACAAATTACAAAAACTTGTAGGCTTGGAGAACATGGTGTGCAGGAAAATGTTTGGAAATGATGGATCCAGTGCTGGAAAAATCCTTCATATGCAGAGAAGTAGAGAGGTGCACACAAATTGGTTTGTTGTGTGTTCAAGAAGATGCAAAAGATAGACCAACCATGTCTCGTGTTGTTGTAATGCTGACAAGTGAGACAATGGTGCTTCCAAAACCCAAGCACCCTGCATTTTCAATTGGAATAATGGCCTCAGAGGAAGTGCATACATCAAAAAGTTCCAAGAATCATTCAAATAATGATGTAACACACTCTATTTCTTTACCAAGGTGATGGACAATTGTGTAAAGGATTTGTTTGTTTGTCCTCAAATGTGACGATGTAAAGTTGTTTTTATCATTGATTTAAATATAAATTTATCAATTAAGTTTCTGCACTGTCATTGAAATTTTGTCTTAGTGATGTTTACATTATCAATTAATAAAAAAATTGCGCATGTGTATGATATTTGAGATCTAGACTCATGCTTTGGGCACGTATTTAAATAAAATCATTGAAAATCTTATATATTATTGAGAAAAATTTTCTTTTATTTCTTTAACTAGCAGTACTATTAATATATATTTTTAATAATAAGTTTGATTTAATTTTTAAAATAATACAGTTAACTTATCCAATATGATACTTTTGAGTTTATGAAGATATTACGAAACATATTTAAATGTTTTCATCATCTTTGTATTTTAAAATTTTAATGTCAACACTAGTTTTCAAAAACTGAATACATCATGATACACTCCACCTAAACAAACTCATACATTTCACAGACGTGTTAGTAATTAACTACTATATTTTAAACAAATTTAGAACATTCTTGGACCAGTTTGTTGTTAAGTTTGAAATACTATTCATTCATGCTTTAAAATGTTTAAAATTAGTGTCAACCAAGGGTGGCGTCAATGTGGGTACCACTGTTGACTATCTGGTGCGAACGAGACCAATATGGACGCTAATTAGTTCTACCTTGGGACTTGTGAGGTAATATGAATTTTTTTAGAGAACAATATGACGGGCCCTATGCTTTTTTTTCAATAAGCAAAATTGCATACGTACCTGATTTCAGAAGGGCTTCCAGATGCAAACTCGTCACAAGTTTACCAACGCTTGCCCTCAATTGTTGACTGGGTTAGTTGACATTTAATACATATTGAATTTCCAATTTGATGTGTTAACTTGTTTGATATTTATTGTAAACAATAGTAAATGGAATTTTTGTAGCCAATATAATTGAGAATGAATAACACCTGAATCTCATGGGTATGAAATGCATTACTTGCTATATGTTTCAATCAGTGTGGCAAATAAGATAATTAAGCAAGTACTTCATGTTAGGAGCACAAGTAAACGTGAGATCAATATGCTTCACTTTCTTGTTACTGCTGAGTTTCGAATCATTGATTACAGGGGCTGAAGCACAGACAAACCTGGGAGGTAACTGCGGAAACGGCACCCAACAAAATCTCAGCAGTGCATACCAAACCAACCTTGACAAAATCCTCACATGGATGTCCTCCGATGCAGCCACAAGCAATGGTTATAACCACACCACCATAGGCACCAATAGCTCTGCGTATGGCCTCTATGATTGTGGTGGTGGCGTGGTTGGATACTTTTGTCAATTTTGTGTTTCCACTGCTACAAAAGAAGCCGCTCAGCTCTGCCCCAGTAATGTATCTGCTCTGGTGTGGAATGATTACTGCGTTATAAGGTACTCAAATGAGGACTTCTTTGGGAAAGCTTTGACATACCCAACATGGCATACTGTTGGAACAAAAAACGTATCCAACATTACAGAGATTCAGAAAGGTGAGGATTTTGTGAGAAGTTTGATAAGAAAAGCAACTAATGAAAGCAACCTGTTGTACTATAAGGACGGCTTCAATTTGAGTGCCACTGAGAGTAGGTATGGCGTGGTGCAATGCACTAGAGATCTCACAAATGAAGGGTGCCGACAGTGTTTGGAGGACATACTAGCTGAAGTTCCCACGTGCTGTGAACAAAAAGTAGCATGGATGGTTTGGTCCGGAAGTTGTTTGATAAAGTATGATGATCACATATTCTACCTTCTTAACCAACCACCTTCAGCTCCTGCACCCGATCAGCAAACAGGTGAATCTGACTCTGGAAGTTGTTTTATTCATCATTTATATTTCTTCATGGATAAAAGTTGGTTGTTAACATATTAGTTTTTATTAGTGGAGGGATTAGAGCCATGACCCCCTCCTCCCTTCCACTTTTACCACCAAACTAACCTTATATCTCCATGTTACTGCAGATAAAAAACGGGGTAATAACAGGTCAAAAATATTGATCATTACCTTCAGTGTGATTGGGGCCATAATTGTACTTTGTTTCAGCGTATATTGCTTCTGGTACAGGAAAAGATTAACAAGAGGTAATTATCAAGAAAAAACGAGGAATGGAGTTAGAGAAGGTAATTTCCTCCAAGCACACATTCCTTGTTTTGTATGATAGCTAGTTTCTCCTAGTGAAATAAGACTATTTTGATCAGATATGAACTCACAAACTTCTTTTTGTAGAAGGTATTCCTCTACCTTCATTTCATAAATTTCAATCAGAAGAAACGTGGAACACCGACCTGCCTAGAATCCCATTAATCACAATTCTACAGAGTACTGATAAATTTTCAGAAGCATCTAAATTAGGGGAAGGTGGATTCGGCCCTGTTTACAAGGTTGTGATGCTTTGGAGTTTCGGATATAGATTCCTTATTTACCATTTTTCTATATGATTTTATTTATTGCATACTTTTTTACCAGGGAACTCTACCAGATGGAAGACAAATTGCAGTCAAAAGACTCTCAAAATTTTCTGGTCAAGGTTCGGAGGAGTTCAATAATGAAGTAATGTTTATAGCTAAATTGAGGCATCGCAACCTTGTAAGACTGTTGGCATGTTGCTTAGAGGAAAATGAAAAGATACTTGTATACGAGTATTTGCCGAATAAAAGTCTCGACTTTCACCTATTTGGTATGTTTTCAAATAGCAGTGTTGCTTTTACTGCAATTTGTTCTTCTGCATTCTCCACTACAAAAATAGTATTGGCTCACAAGTCAGTTGGGGAAACTGTGGAGCTTAATGTAGTTGTCCTGGCATGTTTATGGTACTACTATATTTAAAAATAAGAGCAGCAGGACATGATCATAATATCTAAACAAGTCATGCCACGTTTTCTTTTTCTTTCATAAGAAAATTAAACTAAATTCAAGTTATATCATGTTTTGAGTCATCTTTAAGGGGAAATTGAAAAATTCTTTTGGTATTTTTCCCCCATGCTATGGCCAAATCATAGCATTTGGTGTATTCGATTTTTTTGCTTCACTAACTGTTTTGTTGTTCGAATCCGTATGCTGTTTTTGTGTGGTCAGATGTTGAGAAAAGAAAACAATTTTATTGGAAACTAAGATTAAGCATTATCAATGGAATAGCAAGAGGTATTTTATACCTTCATGAGGACTCTCAACTCAGAGTAATTCATAGAGATCTCAAAGCTAGTAACGTTCTATTAGACCATGACATGAATCCCAAAATATCAGATTTTGGATTGGCAAGGGCATTTGAAATGGGACAGAACCAGGCAAATACAAAACGAGTAATGGGCACATAGTGAGTTTTACTTACACAAAATATTTTTAAAACAATAAGATTTATCAATGCATATTTTAGCATTTGAATAAAGTAGAACGAAATTCTTTGTTTATATATATATATTCCTTGACACGAGACAAATAACAAAGCTCTATTGATTTCCATTAACAGTGGATACATGGCTCCTGAGTATGCAATGGAAGGGCTATTTTCAGTGAAATCTGATGTTTTCAGCTTTGGAGTTCTTGTTCTAGAAATCATTTGCGGGAGAAAGAATGGTGGATTCTACCTGTCAGATGGTCAAACTCTTCTTTTATATGTAAGTTTGCACTCTTGTATGGTCGAGAAACTATCCAACAATGCTGAGATAACTAAAGCTTATTAAAAAACTACAAATACTTGTGTAGGGTTGGAGAAAATGGTGTGAAGGAAAATGTTTGGAAATGATGGATCCAATGCTGGAAAAATCCTTCATAGGCACAGAAGTAGAGAGGTGCATACAGATTGGTTTGTTGTGTGTTCAAGAAGGCCCAAAAGATAGACCAACCATGTCCGATGTTGTTGTAATGCTGGCGAGTGACACAGTGACCCTCCCAAAACCCAAGCACCCAGCATTTTCGGTTGGAAGTATGGCCTCAGAGGAAGTCTCTACATCAAGAAGTTCCAAGAATTTTTCCAATAATGATATAACATCCTCTATTACTTTACCTAGGTAATTTGATGATTGCACAAACCATTTGTATATATCATTAAATTAAATCAAATTATTTATTAATTTAACCTACCCACATTAATGTATCCATACTTTTTACTTCATAATCTCCAAGATAGGGGTGGCAAGACCTGTTTTGGCTCACCCCTCAGTTGGTCCAAAAAAAAAAAAAACAGTTTGAGGTGGACTATTCTGTTTGAAAAAAAAAATATTATTGCATTAATATATGTTTATGTATTACAATTATACATTAAATTATTATATTTATAATTTTAAGAATATAACTTAAATTTACAAAAAAAAAATTAAAACAAATCAAAATGATTCGATGATCTTATATAAAATCAAAACAAAAATATAGATCAGATTAATCACTGATAACCCATTAAGTCAGACCCATTTAATAGTTTATTGATGGATTACAACAAATTTATCATTGGATTTATTTCGGAAGAAAAGTGATACTGATATCAGTTAAAGTGAGCAAAATCAATGTACAGAAACAGATATATAGGATGTGAATCAAAGTTCAGTTTGAAAGAGTTATCTGATCACTGGTTCCCAAGAAGTGCCAAGATCATTGAAAGGTTATTTAATCTCATGATAATTCACTAGCGGAATTTTGTATAAACTGAAATCAGTAAGCAAGAGATGGTATAGTTACATAGTAAAAAGAACAAATTTATTGAACCATGAATCAGGGATAAACTCATTCACAAGCATATATATACGAAGAAGTAGTTCCAAGAGCACTTATTGGAACACACATTGAACTATAGAGCACATACACGTTATCAGAATTTTGAACAGAGATGCCCATCACCAGTGATGTGATTACCATGAAAATAGCCCTTTATATACAAGTGATCCATGTGATACTTACATTTAAATTAATAATGAATACAACTGTAGTATGTCACTTTTGAAGAGAGACAAATCCTTTTGTAATTATACATTACCTCGGTAAAGTAATAGAGATTGTTACATCATTATTGAAAAGATTCTTGAATCTTTTTGATGTAGTTACTTCCTTTGAGGCCTTTTTTCCAATTGAAAATGCAGGGTGCTTGGCTTTTGGAAGGTCCATTTTGTCACTCCCTAGCATTACCACCACATCGGACATGGTTGGTCTATCTGTTGCATTTTCTTGAACACACAACAAAGCAATGTGTATGCACTTCTCAACTTCACTGGCTTTGAAGGATTTTTCCAGAATTGGATCCATCAACTCCAAACATTTTCCTTCACACCATATTCTCCAAGCCTACAAGTATTTGTAATTAATTTGCGAATAATACTGGCATATTTCAGTTAGAATTCAGACCAGAGGGATGACTCACATATAAAAGAAGAGTTTCACCATGTTCTGAGAGATATAATCCATTGTTCTTTCTCCCACAAATGGTTTCTAGAACTAGAACTCCAAAGCTAAAAACATCAGATTTCACTGAAAACAATCCTTGCATAGCATACTCAGGAGCCATGTATCCACTAATGCAAATCATTAGAGCTATGTTAATTTCTCTTGTATGCTTCAAGGAATATTTAACAAGGAATTTCATTTTTTTTTCAATAATTAAATTCTTAAATATGCATTCATTAAGTCCTACTGTTATGATATGTTTGGTATAAGTAAAACTCACTAAGTGCCCATTACTCGCTTTGTATTTGCTTGGTTCTGTCCAATTTCAAATGCCCTTGCCAATCCAAAATCTGATATTTTGGGATTCATGTCATGGTCTAATAGAACATTACTGGCTTTCAGATCTCTATGAATTACTCTGAGTCGAGAGTCTTCATGAAGGTATAGAAGTCCTCTTGCTATTCCATTGATAATGTTTAATCTTAGTTTCCAATCAAGTTGTTTTCTTTTCTCATCATCTGTCAACTCAAGAAGATAGAAGGGATTTGAACAACACTATACATTTAGCAAAACACCAAATGCTATGTATTTGCATTAGCACTGGGAAAAATACCAGAAGATAATATAGCATTTCCCCCTTGAAGATAACTTATAAGTTATACCATGATATAACTTTAATTTAGTTTCATGCTATGAAAGGAAAAGAAAAGGGATAAACTTTTTTTGGGTATTTTGTATAACCATATACATACCAAAACGACGACTAACTAATTCAAAGCCCATAGTAGCACCACTTGACTTATCAACTGAGACTAATTTTGATCTCAAACTATGTTTAAGAGAAACTACAGTAAAAACTACAGAAGCTACCATAAACACTATTAATGAAGCAGTGAAGCAATCTGAAAACATACCGAACAGGTGAAAGAACAGACTTGCGTTTGGCATATACTCGTATACAAGTATCTTTTCATTTTCCTCCAAGCAGCATGCAAAGAGTCTTACAAGGTTGCGATGTTGCAATTTAGCTATAAACATTACTTCATTATTGAACTCCTCTGAGCCTTGACCAGAAAATTTTGACAGCCTTTTGACTGCAACTTGTCTTCCATCTGGTAGAATTCCCTGATAAAAGTTTGGATAAATAAAATCATATAGAAAGATGGAAACAATAAAGAATACATTTCATAAATTCGAATAATGTAAACCTTGTAAACGGAGCCAAATCCACCTTCCCCCAATTTATATGCTTCTGAAAAGTTATCAGTACTCTGTAGAATTGTGATTAATGGGATTATAGGCAGGTCAGTGTTCAATGTTTCCTCCGTCTGAATTTTATGAAATGATGATAGACTAAGCCCATCTACAAAAGCGAAGGTTGTGAGTCATATTTGAACAAAGTAGCCATATTTGAGTAGGAGAAAAAGCTATCACACAAACTATGGCATGAGTAATTGCAGGAAATTATCTTTTCTACCTCTTCTCCTGTACCAAAAGTAATATACACCCAAACATAGTAGAGTTATTGACCCCATCATAGAGAAGCTAATGATCAAGATTTTTGACCTCTCGTTACCTCCTTGTTTAGCTGCAACAACATATGGAAAAAAGAAAATAAGTAACAAACAAAAACATCCGAAAGTACTAGTATGGCATTCAGATTGACCTGTTTCTGGATTTGACACAAAAATTGATGTTTGATTGTTAAGAAGGTAGAACATAAGGTCATCATACTTTATCATACAAGTTCCAGACCAAATGAAACAGCCTAATTTTTGTTCACAAAATTTGGGAACTTCCGCTAACATGGCCTCCAAACACTCTATGCACCCATCATTTGTGAGATCTCTAGAGCATTGCACGAACCCGTACCTTTTCTGAGTGGAACTCAAATTGAAGCCATCCATGTACCACAACTTGTGGGTCTCCACAGTTGCTTTTCTGATCAAGCTTCTCAAAAAATCCACACCTTTCAGAATATCTTTCATGTTGGATATGTTTTTCTCTCCAAGAGCATGCCATGATGGGTTTGTTAAAATTGTCCCAAAGAAGTTCTCATTGGAGTACCTTAGAATGCAGAAATCATACCAAACCATAGCAGAGACCCTATTGGGGCAGCGCTGAGGAACTTCTCTGGCCGCATTAGAGACACAGAATTGACAAAAGTATCCAACCACATCACCACGACAATCATAGTGGGCATACAAAGGACTGCTGTTGGATATGCTTTTGGAGTTATAACCTTTGCTTATGGCTGCATCTGAGGATGCCCATGTCAGAATCTTCTCAAGATTTGTTTGGTAAACATTGCTAAGACGTTGTTGAGTGGTGTTCTGGCAGTTACTTCCCACTACAATGTATGTTCGTGCCTTGGTAAAAAATAGTGAACCAAAATACAAAGATAACAAGAAACCAAAGCATGTTGATCTCTTGTTTACTTGGTTTCCCACCATGCCCATGACTGAAAATAAACAATTATACTCGAGTAATACAAGAAAAAAAGAGGAAGATATTTGTTATTTCAAATTAAGGTGTGGAGTGTTCGATTTTCCTTCATTCGTGTTCATATCAATTAATGTGGTAACACCAGATCTTATTAGTCAAAAGTAAGTACATTGTTTCTAGCCCAATGCTGTACGTCATTGACACAACTTAGATAACTTTGTTGACAATCAATGACTAAAAAATTATGAGAAATCTTTGAAGAATGTGTACGTGACTAAAACATTCATTTCATACAACATTAACCAAAACAAGAACAGGATGTGAAAGGAACATGAATAATGTTGAAATTTTTAAGATTAATATCATTTATATTCGTCAATCGTGGTGCTCTATTTCTTATAACATTTAACTTTGTTAAAGTTAAAAGGTTTAAAATAAGTTTCATGTGTAAGACAAATATAAACCTTTATATACACCAAGAAATTGTAAAAACATGATTAGATTAAATTGTAGAAGGGAGTTTGATTATTTTCATTTTGAAAATGTGCAAAGAGAATAATATTTTATTGTGAAAGTTAGGAATTATCAACAAAATCTCATTCATGATGACGAAGAAGAAACAATGTTTTGACTTGGGTTCTATAAACCTCATAATAGATTTAAGTTGTGGATGGTCATCATAAGACCAACAAAATTGTTTAAATGACCTCATTGAGAATTTAGATTTTATCTTGTAATTGAAAACTTATTATAATGAGATTGATATTAAAGATCTTTTCCATATTTCAGATGTTATATCCATCCACATCACCTATTGTTTGGTAGGGGACTCATAAATAAATATTATTCTCATTTAAGAATGAGAAAGGATTTTCATTTTTAGAAGAGATAGGATTGACAAAATAATCCAAGACTTTGACTAGTCATGGTTTATCAAGAATAAAAAAAGAGAGATGAAAAATTAATTTATTACCATAAAAAAAAAGAATTAATACATCTCTTTTTATTGATTTTTAATTTATTTTAATCTTTTAATTTTATTCTTATTAATCATTATTAAATCAATTGACAATACAAATAGTCATGTCATTATTAAAATAAATATTTTTCTTTTTTAATTCTGCCTTATAACAAATACGAGGGACGATATTTTTCTATAAAGCTTTCTAATTATGTAATCGAAAATCTTTTTGATACAACCAAAAAGTATAAGGATTTTTAAAAGTGTAACTGGAAGGTGGATAAAGAAAAAATGAAGGTGCATGAAGTAATTGTCCCATAACCGTTGATTTGAGATTATGCGGGCCTAGCCCAATTTCTTGTTTCGTATTAAAGTTTTGGAGATCCTCATTGCACCACCTTTTCTTTTATCTAGCACCCTTCCAAATATTTGTAACCTTTTTTTTCATAAAATATTCCGAATTACAACCTAATTTGCTGAACTTATTTTTTAGATGCTCTGTAATTTAACTTTTTCTTAACACTTCTAGAATGTATTAAAAAAATTTAATCGTTGCAAAAACTAAATTTTCAAAGATAAAATTTTAACATGTTTCAAGTATTAAGTTTTTAGAAGAAAAAAAATCAACACTCCCCCTAATTATTATAATTATTTAATTTCGTAAATTAAAATTATATGGATCTTGTCTTGTTAGCCATACCCTAAGATACCTTTTTAAAGAATAAAAATAAGATTTTTTTTTTATCATTACAAATTATACGAGAATGGATTGAAAAAAAATCATAAAATACTTTGTTTTCAATTTTTTAACAATTACCACGCGAGTTAGCGTTTACCATTTACGTTATGATTATTTATATTATTTTAAACTTTCACGATTAAACGATAAGAAAAATGCACTGACAAATTGTAAGTATGAGTATTACTAAACTTAGTTCCTTTAAAGTAAATCATGTACAATAATTTGGTTACCAAAAGAAAAAAAGATATAAAAGTATTAAGAATAATAAATTTATCATTTAATCTTACAAATTTATTTATTAAAATAAATAAATATATATATATATATATATATATATATATATATATATATATATATCATTGTAAGATCTTTAATACTTTTCATAATATTTATTAAGTAAAATAAAATTATTATAAAAGTTTTCAATAAACCCGTGCCTTCCACGGATTTTCATCTAGTTTTAATAATTTCTCTTACCTTTACATATAATCACAAGATTGAACATTTAAAGTTAGTTTTATTATAAAAGTTTTCATTTGTTTATAATAATCACGTGAAGAGTGGACTGGTAAAGATGATTTTGTTGACTAGTGATTACTACAATTTTCTACTCTATTGTTTTGTTTTTATGAACGAAAGATAAAGTTCTTAAATATTTTAAGAAAATAATTATAACTTTTTCATAAATTAAAAAAAAAAACTTATTTTATTTTACTTTTCGTATTTTTTGCTATTAGTGTACATAGTACATATAATTCACTTGGAACCAAAGCAAATCCAGATAATCCTCCATGGGAAAAACACAACTCAATGTGAGAACTCCATGTTACTTTGTTTTCATGTTCTTGCTAAGCTTCAAATCACTTGGTACAAAGGCACAACCACCCTTTTATTTGGGAGATGACTGCGATTTCACTCCCCAAAAGCCTCTCAGCAATGCATACAAAACCAACATTAACAACATCCTCTCATGGCTATCTTCAGATGCAGCCACAAGCAAAGGCTATAACTACAAAACAATAGGCAACAGCACACCTGTGTATGGCCTCTATGATTGCCGTGGTGATGTGGTTGGCTACTTTTGCCAATTCTGTGTCTCCTCTGCTACCAGAAGAGTCTTTCAGCACTGCCCCAATAGGGTTTCTGCTGTCATGTACTACAACTTCTGCATTCTGAGGTACTCTAATGAGAACTTCATTGGGAATGTTACACTAAATCATCCAAGACATCATGTTGGGAACAAAAGTGTGTCTGGTGCAGAAGAGATTCAAAAGGGTGAGGATTTCATGAGAAGTTTGATCAGAAAAGCAACTGTGGAGACCAACCAGTTGTACTACATGGATGGCTTCAATTTGAGCTCCACTCAGAGAAGGTATGGCTTGGTGCAGTGCACCAGAGACCTCACAAGTGAGAGCTGCAGACAGTGCTTGGAGACCATGCTAGCACAAGTTCCCCAATGTTGTCAACACAAGTTGGGGTGGCTTGTTGGGACTGCAAGTTGTCACATAAAGTATGATGATTATATGTTCTACCTTTTCAACAACCAATCATATCTTGTGCCAAGTTTAACAGGTATAACACTTCAGTTAATTTTTCTTGTCTTCCAATCATCAACTTTGTTGGTAGGTTTCTCTTCTGAGTCTTGTGTTCCATCTTCCATTCATGTGCCTATTCCAACGGTTACACTGATTTCAATCAGTCATGTATATACACAGTCTATAGATTTAGGCTTCATAAAACAATTATCAATTCTAGTTTGTATAAAATTTTGCTTTGTAATTTTGTAGAAACTTGGATGTAATTAATGTTTTTAGCCCATTTTTGTTGAAATTTTATCTTGTTTATTTGCGTTTTAAAAGATTACGTTAAATGTCATCACATATTAATGATGTAAAATTCTAGATCAAACACTTGTAAATGTTGTTTCGATGTTTTGTAACTTTAGTTTTTTATCACTGGATGACATGACAATTATATTAGAAAATAAACATAATATTTCTTAAATAATAACAACTGAATTGCTTGCAGAGAACAAATAGCAGAGGCAATAATTTTATGAAAGCGAAAAAAATATAAAAATAAATTGAAAAATATGTAGAGTTTATGTATTATATGAAACAAAAGTATGACAGTTTAAATTTTTTTTTTCTTCACTTTTACTTTCTACCCAAATTTTTTCTTTTTAATTTTTCTTTCTTCATTTTTTTTTCTCAAATCAAACAAAGATGAAATTAAAGTACACATTATTATATGTTTGTTTAATTTGTCAAAAAAACTAAGATACTTCATATTTATTACAGGTAAACAAGGGAATGCTAGTAAGTCAAGAAAGTTTATCATTGGATTGAGTGTGTTGGGGTTGGGGTTAGTAGCTCTGTGTTTTAGTGCATATTGCTTATGCTACTGGAATAGAGTTAGAAAAGGTAATTTCAATAACTCAATGCTATAATTCATATGATACTTATTTCCACTTAAACATGGTCATTTAGTTCAAACATAACTCATAACTTGTCTTTGTAGATGGGCTCATGACTGATACTATTCCTCTATCTGCATATACAAATTTACCTATAATCCCATTAACCACAATTCTAGAGAGTACTCATAACTTCTCAGAAACATCAAAATTAGGTGAAGGTGGATTTGGCCCAGTTTACAAGGTACACTGGAATTTGGATATAATTTTTTTGTCATTTGACTAAATACATTCAGATTTGTAAATTGCAATATTTTATCAGGGGATTCTACCGGATGGCAGACAAGTTGCAGTAAAAAGGCTATCAAAAGCTTCTAGTCAAGGCTCAGAGGAGTTCAAAAATGAAGTAACATTTATAGCTAAATTGCAACATTGCAACCTTGTAAGACTTTTGGCATGCTGCTTGGAAGAAAATGAAAAGATACTTGTGTATGAGTATTTGTCAAACGCAAGTCTTGACTTTCACATCTTTGGTATGCTTTTATATATCTTCATTATATAGTGTTCGTGGTTAGCTTTTCTATCTTTCACTTCTTTTGTGTCTTCTTTCTGATAATTTTGTCTATGCTATGGCCAATACTTTTATTAAGATATCTTCTATCTCCTAGATGATGAAAAAAGGAAGCAACTTGATTGGAAACTAAGGTCAAGCATTATCAATGGAATAGCAAGAGGTCTTTTATACCTCCATGAGGACTCTAGACTCAAGGTAATCCACAGAGATCTCAAAGCTAGCAATGTTCTATTAGATGATGAAATGAATCCAAAAATATCAGATTTTGGATTGGCAAGAGCATTTGAAAACAATCAGAATCAGGCAAATACAAACAGAGTAATGGGCACTTAGTAAGTTCTACGAACAAAAACATTGATTTGAACTATAGTTTTTCTTTAATGTCGTTTTGTAAAAGTGCATTTTCTTGTTATATATGGGAGATATAACCAAAGTATATTAATTTTCACCATGCAGTGGGTACATGGCTCCGGAGTATGCAATGGAAGGATGGTTTTCAATGAAATCTGATGTTTTCAGCTTTGGAGTCCTTGTTCTAGAAATCATTTGTGGGAAAAAGAACAGTGGATTTTTTCTATCAGAACATGGTCAAAGTCTTCTTTTCTATGTGAGCTTTCTCTCTTAATCGATCCATAAATTTAATCAACATTATCTAGAGTTGTAACAATGTTTACGAATCAAAATTTGTTGTAGAGTTGGAGAATGTGGTGCGCAGGAAAATGTTTGGAATTGATGGATCCAGTGTTAGAAAATTCCTACATATCCAATGAAGTTGTGAAGTTTATACAGATTGGTTTACTGTGTGTTCAAGAAGCAGCAACAACTAGACCAACCATGTCCATGGTCATGGTATTGTTGGCAAGTGATGTAACGACCATTCCAAAACCCAACAAACCAGCATTCTCAGTTGGAAGAATAACCTCAGCGGAAACATCGGCTTCAGAATGTTCCAAAAATGTTTCCATCAATCATGTATCAATCTCTAGTATTGTACCAAGGTAACGAAAACTTGCATTAATAATTTGATATTGAGATTATTGCAGCTTTTTCAGGATAGAACACTCTGTAATTATTGGAAATTTGTTGCTAAAACTAGACATTGTAACAGACGAATTAATAATGACAGTTCAGTACTCCCTCTAATCCTTTTTATATCTTTTAAGTTTATTTTGAAATAATATTTTTTTTTTATGATTCTAATAATGCAATATGTTATTTTACATTTTACATTTTAAGAATTTATGTAACAGAATTAATGTTATCTCCAATTTTAGTCTTTTAATATAAAATATATATTTTTTCTCATTATCCCATTAAATTTAACTATACGAGACAAGGGGATATATTTCAATTAGGTTCATATTTAAAATTTGACCCTTCAAGTTAAATAAGATTTTTGAAAATTTGTAAATCAATTATAATCAATATTTACATGTATATTATCTATTAAACTTGACTCCATATACTCGTTACTTATGTTTAAAAGTAACAAATGGAATGGTTTTAAGAATAATATTACTAGTTTAATTTTTAAAAACATGGTAATTTTTCTATTTTACCCTCTTTCGATCATTTACGTTGTTTATAACTATAATTATAACAAGTGATTATTTAAGAAATTTTTGTTTGAAGGAAATTATTGGATTTAAATTTATTTTAAAATTAATTTTAGAGATCAATTTTGAAAATAAATTTGAGAAAAAATGATTTGATAATACTTTAATTTGAAAACTATATTAAACAAAAGAGGATAATTATTAGTGAAAACATAAATACTATTAATAAAAATAAAACTTAAAAACAAAAAATTCATTTATCAGTTTTTGTTTTTAAAAGCTAAAACACAAAAATAAATTTAAAACCCTATTTATGCAAAATAATTTTTAAATAAGTTTTTGAAATTTTAAAATTAAAAAGACTAAAATTTACTTTTAAAAACAATAAACAAACACGTTTAAAGACTAATGTTAATACAAAAGATGTAAATTTATGTCGACCCTTTTCATAGATATAAATTTACATTGGATAATATAAGTACTTGATATAAATTATGTCGGACATATAATATATTAAACGTTTAAGGTTCGGTATGACCATACCTGAAACATAAATTTACATTGGTGGTGTTGGGTCCGATAAATTTATATCGGGTACGGTCATATCTAATGTAAATTTTGCATTTCTTTTTTAATGTAGTTATACTTTTATTTAGTAACCAAAACATGTATAAAAACATTCATATATACAAACTTCGAGTTATCCATAGTACAAATTAGTTATATATAATTACTAAAGTACATCAATATGTATCAAACTAAATTACAAAAAATTTAAATATCTACTAAATATAACAAAATTATCCTAAATTACATAAGATTAACTACGAAGTTTATAAGTATCATAAATTTTGTAAACAAAACTTGGTTTAGTGTTCCTTTATGTTGTAAAATATCAGGTTCAAACAACGGTGATAAATCTTGAAATACACGAAACAATAATTTAAGCGTCATTAACATAAAATACTTGTAAAATATAAATAAATTTAACTATTATTAAAATGAATTATCGTTATCTAAGAATAAGTAATACTTACACAAATTATGAATCTCATCTAATACATGACATAGTAGTCACATTCATACGAGTATGTTTGTCATCATCATCAATATATCTTCTCGACCATGGTGAACAAATGAGTCTTAAGTGGCATGTTCAACTAAATCATCCTGTAACAAAATCAACAATAGATAAGTCACACACTAAATTATGTAAGAAGCATATGTAATTAACATGTTATATATAT